AAAAAAAAAAAAAAGAGTATGGTTTTTCTGTTCCCAGCATACAAGGGCCTTTTGCCTTAGTTGTCCTATTGTATGAGTAAACCACGTATATCCATCACATATTTGTGTAATCCTTTCTGGGTGTATCAATTGGAAGGACTTGGTAGTGGGGAAATTTGTTGTCATGAGCCTATCTGTGAGTTTGTATATTCTGTTAAAATGTTGATAGTTTGAGGATAAGAGAGAGGTGCCTATAGACTAGCGAGTCCCATGTAACATTTATCATAGGCCAACAAGAAACATTCTTTTTAGTAATAGAAATATCCCAGATGTGTTGGTATGGGGGTAAGTCCGTGTTGGGTGTGGTTAAAGGCAGCCACTGATGCTTTGCCAAAGGCTCTACTTATGATTTTACATTAACAGAGGTGGCTCCCAGGACAAATATGGCTAAGGGATAAAACCATTAAGAAGCATTCTTTGCCTGACATCCAGCCTAACAAAATCCTAATTAGGAGGAATTGTTGGCAAGTGGGAGACGACTTGTCCTGAGAGGTAAGGGCATCCCCAAGTATATTCTCCAATCCAATTATAAGGACGGTGGGGGCCATCCATTATCTCCACAAGTTCATAGTTAACCCCATGGAGAGGGGTATGCTCTGACTTTTAAGGAACAATTTTGTTATCCCAGCCACATAGAATTGATCAAAGTGACAGCTGAGTTACATAATTGTTGGGGAGTCTATCCCAGTGTCCAACTGTTTAAATAATCATATGCCCATGGGGCCCTTTTTATTATCCCCATAGAGTAATAAGCAGAAAGATTGTCTATATATGAGCTATTATAGCAATCTGTCTGAAGTTTACCTCAAGTTGTCTAGCTTAGGCAAACAACAAACATTTAAAGACAATTAAAACTAGAATCTAACAACCATAAGGATGCATTATTGAAGCATAATTTTTCTCTCTAAATTCACCCTTATTTCCAGAAACAGCCAAATCAAGACTCATTCATTTATAAAACAAGTCCAGTTTTAACAAACTTGGCCTAATTATTTACATAAGCTCAGTAAAAATAGCGATTGATCACATACATCCTTTAAAATCTGTTTTGCTAGGACTTTTTATAAGGAATTTTTAGATTGACCTTTTAATAGCCTGTTAAGGCCAGAGCAAAGCCAAATATTTGCCTGCAATACCATAGGTTTGGGTGTATTCCTCGTCTTGAGGTCCCCAAAATATCCTCAGGGTTCTTGCACCTGCCAGGAAGTAACATTCTTTACTCACCTGCCAGGAAGTAACATACTTTACTCACCTGGTAAGGGTGCTGGGAACTCTGTAAGCAACGTATCAGGCTAACATTCTCAAGGAGTTTTAATGGCTCCATAAAGTCAATCTTAATTCCTTAGAGCTGTCTGTCATATCTCAGTCTATGTATGTCTCTCTCAAATATGACATTCCAGTCAAAGCTTTGGTATTATAGCCAATGTTTCCAATAGTGTCCTATTACAAGAACAGATGCTCATTGAACTTATGCAAATAATTATAATTGCCATGGAAGAAAGAATATTCATTGAGAGGGTTTTTTTTTTAAGATTTTATTTATTTATTTGA